GAGTGGCATTAAGGTAGGAAGAATATAATTACCTGAACTGGACCGTGGCCAGGATAATGGTATTGATTTATTTCAAGAAACTCAGAAGTGCCAAAACCTGGATTTTACATTTAAATCCAGAAGATGGCAAATCACAGCACCCCAGTTCTATTCTTCCAGCGTTCAGCGGGAAGGAAAGGTCTCCTGATAGGTTTTTACCCCTAATGCCTACCGCCTGTGGCCACGATGAGAAAGCTCACCCATCCCAAATGAAAGCTTCATCTGGGAAGCCCGATGCCATCCCAGCGCACGGCCCTGTAGCTACCGATGCTCTGCTACAAGGCACACATCACTGAGGCAATGCCTGCACCTTGCAGGACAGAGAAAACTTTATCCCGCTCCCCATACCTTGCCCGCAGGCAATAAAGCCACACTCAGTCCCAGCTACAGGCACAAGCAAGGTCTCTCGAGCATAGCCCCTAGTTCGATCTGGTATTAATTATCCACTGATCTGCAGAGATAAATGCTTAATCCCCTGGCTGTTGACACTGGAAATGGACCAGTGTACCCTGGGGTGGCTATTATACAGGGGAACTTGGCTTCAGCTATGATCCCTGCCTCATGTGCTGTACAAATGTTCACCGGCTTGTAGGTAATGGATTTCATAGGGTGTACGGGCTCTTTCCGTGGCAGAGCTAATCCAGAATAATACATGACTTAAGCACTCATTGTATCACGTTTTTCTTCCTCCCTCTATTTTTTTTTCTTTGACAATTTCACATTTTCAAACATTCTCTATTTCCTTATAGCTTACCTCCTCCAGGACCGATATCAAGGTGAGTTTCCTAAGCAGCAGTGCCCAAGGGATGTGGAGATGGGTCTGCACAACCCCTGCTTCTCTGGGTGTCTTTCACGTTCTTCCAGGAGAAAGGCCAAAGATCTCCACATTGCTTCTCTGATTTCACACTCCCTGGAAAGCCTAAATCAAGAAGTTCCCTTACCAGGGAGAAAGAAGCAATGCTGATGGGAAAACCGTTCCCAGTTCTGACCAAGCTGCTAAGGACTTTGGTCTTCCCCGTGTCTGAGCAGTCCCACTAATGCCACTGCGTGCCAGGAGGGCAAATGACTGTCCCAGACCTATTGCCACCAGCCCTGCTGCCATTTCGGGACACTCAGGGAGATCCCTGCTCCCCCCTTCCCACTCCTACCTGGGCTTTCTTGCCTCTCCCCTACTTGCTCTTCCCTTCCCAAGGGCTGTCTTACAGGCAGTTTCTTGGCAAAGGCGAATTTTAAATCCAAATGCAGAAACAAGTTTGAAACGGAGTATTATTGTACACAGAGACAGAACATAAATCACAAGCACTTGGGAGCACCAGTTTGCTCCCCATTTAACAACAAAATAGGTTTTCAAGACAGCGCTCTTCTACACAGACTTGAACGGCTGCACCCACAGATGACCAATACAGGGTTTTGAACACAGGTAATATGACAGGGAGTCAGTACACAGTGGCAGCACTTGTTTTTCCTGAAAACATAATCTAAAAAGAAGCTCTGGCTCAACACAAAAACTACTGTTCAGCTTACAGTGCTGCTTTGAAGCTCTGCACCACTGTGCTCCAGGTTGTACATGCACACAAGCAGCCCCTGCTTCCAGTGAGCTTGCAGTTTAACTAGCCAGTGCTGGGGGAAACTGAGGCAGGGGGAAATGAAGGGCTTTCCTCAGCGCCACAGAGTCAGCAAGTGGTGGGCTGGAAGCAAATCTAAGAGCCGAGCACCCACCTGAACCGTGTGCTGCTCTGTACCTAACATGATGACAGAAGCCTGTAACTTTTTCTTGAGCTCAAATCTGGCTGCTCTCACCACCTTCCCTTTAGTAAGAGGTGGCTAAAGCCTTCTGTACAAATTCCTGCAGAAAAAGGGAGCTTGCTGGGAGTATTACACACACAGAGAGAGTTAACGTTTTTTTGTTGGCTTTGTTTGTTTTACCAAAGCAGTATTTCTAGTCTTAATCCAATGGAAATAAACTTTCAGCCCACCTGGATGCAGAAGTTTGCCTTTGCCTCCGTCGTGCTCAATTTAATCCCAAAATTACAGTGAGGCAAAGAACTGGCATTAGAAAAAAGGTGAACTTTTTATTGGATTTTGGATTCGTTAACAACAAGATACAGAGACAGGCTACTTGTTCCTACGCTGTTCCTGGGCAGCTTCACCTCGGCTGTGAGAATGGACTAAGATCTATGAAGGAGAGAATGGGAGTTTGAAGCCCAGCCAGTAAGAGCCTGAGAAAGGGCTCTGGCAGCCCTGGCTTCTGTTTTCCTCGCTCTAAGAAAAGAAAGGGGGTTCTGCAGATTAAAACAATCCAGACTCCCGGGGTCTGTTCCCAACTCTGCCGCTGACTTAAGAGCGCATGCAAGTAAACCTACTTCATTTCTCTGCCCCAGCTCCTCCCGTGTAAACACAGAGGAGATGCTGCTACTTCGCCACGTGAGCAAGTCTGCAAAGTGCAGGCTTCGAGGGCCCTGCCTGAAAGGAGCAGAGGATGGACAGACCAAGCAGTTGTCTGGTACAACCGCAAATCATTGTCGCACCATCCCAGCGAAGCACCGGCTCTCAAGCTATGCTCCTCGGAGCCTGCCAGTGGAAAAGGCAAATTATTTCCATCAGGCAAAAATGAATATTGAGTCATTCACATAATGTCACAAGTCAGGGCTAAAGGCAGGGATGCTAGGGCTTCCCAGCAAAGGAGAAGTGTAAGCTCATCCTTCCAATGCCACATCCAGTGTCTGTAATGACTCTGCTAGACCTCTGCGCTCAGGTGGAACTGGCAGCGTGTAGTTTGCTGTCCATCTCTGAATGATCTTTTTCAGCAAACAGTCTCTTAATGAGATCCCTAATCAGTGACAGATTACAGTCTTGCCGCTCCAAACCCATAAAATCAATGAGGAAGCAATAGCAAGCAAGCACACCAAGAGCATCTGGGAAGGCACCAAGCACGACGGGGCTACGACACATCATCCCTGGCTGACGGCTCCTGCTCCCACTCCTCAAGACAGCTGGTGTAGTAAATGGAAGTAGTAGGAAAAAGAAGGGAAACAGGAGCCTGGCAGTGAAGGAGAGGGTAAAGCGGCTACTCCAAGCAGATATTGTGCTTGAGGATATATGGGAGTCCTGCTTCCCAACTTGCTGCTTGGCCATTTGGGATTATCCCATATGGAGCATCCTCCACTGCTTTGCCTAATCTACTCTTAAGCTACTTAGTATACATGCTCCCTTCTTTTCCAAGCAGGTGGCAAGTCTTCCACCTCAAAAGCATCACTGCTGAGAAATGCTTCTGATAAGCGATGCAAAACTGCTTTGCTTCATTACGCTGGATTCTGCCTAGTCTTGGGATGTCCTTGGAGCTCCCTAAAAATATACTTGCTGGCAGCAAGCTAATCCTTCCCTGTATTTTCACACAACACACACACACCCCCACCCAGACACACCCATCCACCCACCCCAGAAACACAAAGCAGCACATGCTGCCGTGTGTCCATTATTAAGCGGCTGCCTCTGGAAAGAGCAGCATACGCTTCCAGTAGTACGCATGTTGGAGTTACATGACCTTCTCTCCAAACACGTCACAGAGCATCCAGCTCCAAGAAACAGCAGGCTGTATGAAATGCACCATTTGGTACTGTAACAGGGAATTAGCTGTGATCCTGCACGCTTCCCTCTGGTGAAGTCTCCTCTCCTGAGCGCTTTGATCAGTAGAGAATGCCAGGAGCAGCATTCCCTTGATCAGCAAAGTCCAGCGCTGGTTAGTTCGTATTTCTCCCAGGAAATACACCAAAACGGGTCACCAAACTGGTCTGTCGGTGCATATTCTCCGTGTCCGTATTCTCCATGTCCATCTGCCCTGTCACAAACCTGACAGCTGGGCAACATAAACTTGCAAAATCACTCGAATCTTGGATGACTTGGAAAAGCAGCTGCCAAATCGACATGCCGTTCTGTGCGACACTGGACATCGTGCCCCGACAAGCTTTCTAGAGCCCTCTGCACACAGCTGTTGCAATAGCAGGCACCGTAAACCAAAGCACGGTGACATAGCAATCAACAACAGAGCTAAGGTGGTGCTCTCAAGCCCATCGCTGTGGTCTAACTCGCTGGCTGTCCATGATGTGTGTCCAGTATTCCGCCTGGGCTCAGCGGTGCTCACTCCTCTTCCAGGGCTTACTGTGACAAGCACTTTTCTGTGGGAGCTGATTTACTTGCTGTGTGTCATACATCGGCCAGCTCCTTTTCTCCTGTGCCTTCCAGGTGACAGCCTCTGGGATTAAAATGTGACTCAGCAGGCAAAATACAAGGTAATCCTGAAGTCCAGCTCAGCTACCATTCCTCTTTAGCCTGGGGACAGTTCTCTTTTCCAGGACCACAGTCTACCTTACTTGCACCCTACTGCTCAGGCAGCAAAAGGTGCCAGAACAAGACCATGTCTAAGCAGTGGCAGCGGGAGGCAGCTTATCTTTGTCCCTAAGGCAGGACAGCAGCTTTGATTTCTGCACTGCTTTCGACCTCCCAGTTGTTTGGGCAGTGGGGATGGGTCCCTGATGCTGGCTTCAGGGATATTGCCACATCTTCACACTCCATTCTCTCCCCATCTTCCTTCTGGTAAAATGGCTGGTGTGGTGTAGGCACAGGGCTGGCTGCTTAGAGAGCAGGGACAGCATTTGGTCCTTCCTTCACCTGTCCTGAAGAAACAAGATACCATCACATCAAATCTCTGCATGCCAGTGTCAGGTGGAGCCTGAGGCCACCAAAGCAAATCTTGTGTGCTGGCTGCCTTTAGACGTTACAGATGTTCAGAAACGTGGGGCAAGACAACAGGGCTTGCATGCAGCCTGTATATGCTTCTCAGAATGTCCAGCTCAGCAAAGGTCAGGCATCTTCATTCCAGGCTCTCCATCAGGTCAGCAACGGAACAGACGCTACACAGTAGAAAAGCATCTTCAGCCCCTGACACTGGGTTTAATCCATCACCCAGCCAAAACAGAGAAGCCTGGAAGCAGCCTCATTTAGCACTGGCTGGAAAAATTCTTTACAAGAAGCTCCCAGACATGTTCAGTAAACACTGAAAAATCAAATCATCCCATGCCTGCGGCTGCTTCTCTCCTCCACTGCTGGCTACACCAGCCCTGGTTAATGTGCTGAAATGCCTGCTTTGTCCAGGCCACTAGAGGCAGACGGCGCGACAGCTGTGGTTTCAAGCTCATCACTGGAGCCCTTCAGAACCAAGAACTCCAGCAGAATGTCCAAGAGGCAGAAAACCAGGTGCCTGAAACAGAGAGAAGACAAAGTTTAGGCTGGTCAGGTCACAGTGGAGCTGGGAGATCAGCTCCAGACACACAGAAACCAAATCTCATGCAAGGAAGAAGTATTCTGACTGCCATCAGGGGAAAGATAAAAGCTCTCGTACCCTAGAAGAAATGTTTTAAGGGATGGTTCAGGTTTTTTCCCCACCCCCCAAACCAGTGGGTGTTTGAAGCTGCCGAGAAGCACAGAAAACACAAATGCATCACCTGGAGTGAGGTGGCACATGCATTTCTCTGCACTTCAGCACAAAAACAGTGCTTTCCAAATGCACAGTGATGGGTACACAGAAAAACACTATCTATACACATATGCAGCTCTCTAAGCTCTTCTGAAAACAACAAACTAAACCAGGATTTGGTCTTATTTCCTCTGACAGTCCCCTGACATCCACAAACTAAGCAGGCCCAACAACATAATTAACAAGACTGACTCAATAATCTCCAGCCAGACTGAGGTCCTAAACATGCACCTTCATAATAAGCAAGCCAGATGCCCTTTGATAGTATAAGTCTAGGAAAATTATCCAGATAGGTTCTGTGCCAAGAAGCTGGCAGTGTGAATCTCATGGCGAAGCCCTGAGCATAGCTTACAGGCCCCATCGCAAAGGCTATCAGGGTAAAGAGACTATAATCCACATACCTGTTTATCACAGGCTGGCTCAGGGACTCCAGTACCAGGTTCCAGCTCATCCGACATTTACTGGTTCCAAGGATTTCTTGGATCACATCTGTCAACGTCAGAGACAAAGCGTTACGAACTGCACATTTCCACAGTAGTAAAACAGGGTCAGTCTTCTGCTGGTGGGTACTAAATCAACATTTGTGATGGTGCTCTGAGCCGGAGGCATCTCATGCCCAACATTACCACAAAAGAAAACAGCCAGGGACAGGACTGAATGCCAGGAAAGCGTTCCAGCCTGGAAAGGCATATACCAGCAGCGCTTCTTCATCCCCAAAGGACAGTAAGGGGCCCTTACTCTGCAGCAAGGAGTTAAAAATTCAGACTGCGCTCACATGGATTAGACAGCAGCTGCTTTAATGTCAAAGGCCCCCCTGTCAAACTTGGAGAGGGAAATCCAGTGCAGCTGGGCTCACGATTTCAGTCCAGTGGAAAAGCCACTCTTCAGAGCGAGAAGCCAAAGGCTTTGCCTTATGACTCTTCTCAGCAATGGCCCCCTTTGGCAGCAGGTGGGAGCACAGCGTGGCACCGGCCCTACCTCGTCTGAGGTGGCTCAGTGGGAACTGCACCACCAGCACTAAGCACACAGTATGTGGCCGGTCTGCATCTGGGAATCACCAAGACACATGTCCTTTCTCTCTGAGCTGTGCTGCTTCCCAAATGCAAACTATCTACAACTGGGAAACGGTGGTTTTTGCTTGCAGGAAACCATTCAAACCTCAAAGGTCACGAACGTTTCCCATTGCCTTGGCACGAGCAGGCTCCATCTCTGTGTTTAACCACATTTCCAGAGATGCCAATGCGCTGGAGGGTTCCCCAGCCTCCCCCACTGCTCCTTTCTCAAGGGCGGCTGACACATCTCTGGGACACACTTACTAGGCAAGATCCCCATCAGGCTCTGCAGGGCCTGCTCTGCTGCTGCTTTCTTCTGTTCCTCTGTCCTGGCTGGTTTAGGCACTGCTGGTAAAACTCCTCCAGGCCAGATGGATTCCTGCAGCAACTGGAGGTACTGGACCCAACGCTGGGTGCAGGTCAGGTTAACCACCTGGACTTCCAGCCACCTGTGGGCATAG